GATCTGCGCAATTAATTTATTAACGAAAGGCGTAATGTCTTTTAGTCTTAAAGAACGTGATGAATACGAGGTCTATGACAAGGTATAGATCGTTTTACTAAACAGCAGATTTTTAATTACGGTCGAGCACGATACCCGTAATGCTATTTATTCTCGAGAACATAAATTTCATTTAATAGACTCATAAGATTCGAGAAAAATTCGTAGAAACATTGAGAGAGAACTTCCCTGATTACTCTCTCACGTATTCAATTGGTATGAAATAGATCCTAAAATTATATTAGCAAAGATACATGTAAAACGACTTATACCCATTTTAATTTCAGGTGGTCAAATATCTTTCGACATATTTCCTACAGGCTAGTATTGGAATATGATCTGGTTCTTTTTTGCTTTACTATTGATGTTCTGAAAGATCTTTCAATGTTTCAGGTTGGGACAAAACATACTGTCTTAGGCATTTAGAAGCCGAAGGATTCAAGGAAATTCATTTTTTCGGTGACAAGACCTTCAAGGTCGGGAATTTCTTAAGTTGCAAAAAATCACGTCATTATTTGACCGACACATATATAATTACTATTTTTTTTTTTGTAGGGAGGTAATGACTATGAAATCTATACACATCCCTCGGTCATAGGACATTCTGTTACCAACCCTGATGATACTGTTAGAATTTTGAAAGAACTTTTTGGAATTTAATATAATTTAAACTAAATACCTATCATTAAATGTAATAAGAAAAATTTATAGATAAATATGCAAATAAATTGATCGACCTGGTGGTACTAAAAAACTTTAGGTGACTCCGAATTTATCTTGCTGTCTAGAAGTTAGTGGCTTATTTCCCTTTCTCTTCCTGTAGGTATCTTGAATAAATTCATAAAAATACTTGAAATACCATAAAATATTATCATACCTTCCATCGTAACCATTTGACAATATTCCTTCTTTGGAAGTAACCTCCTTAGGTATTTCGTAAACTTCACAATATTCTTTCAAAAAATAGTATAAAGCTTCTATAGTGGCCAAATATGAATCATCCTCCCTTTGATATCTCCAAAATAAGGTTTTTTGCGGTTTGATAGTAACCTTACGAATATTCTTTAATTCGGGATTATGTTTCGCCATGCTTGAGGCCTGTCTCCAAGTACCATCAACAATTATAAGCTTATCAAAGGAAGACCGGGGAATTTCATCCAACGTTTTTGAATCCTATTTTTTAAAAGAAAAGAATTAATTTGTTATTGTATAATGTGCATATTAAATAACGAAGGTAACACAATTCTTACCGGTCCGGGAAAAAGTAATAAAATACGATCAGGATTTTCGAATTTCGGCATTTGAGAATACTGATAAATTTCGACGTCATCGGGTGCTATTATCTTCGCATGAGGTACTGTCGATTTACCATCATTCTCTCTATTATGTTTAATCCTTTTAATTATATGATTAATTAAATTAGATACTGAACAGTTATAGATTAACCAAATTCAAGTATGATAATAAATTTTAAAGCCCACACATCAACTTTAATCGGTAGCTTCGTTTTTGGGATTTCACTCTTATAGCAGCCGACAGGTATAAAACAACTGTAGCAATAAAATTTTACAGATTTTTTACAAGTTGGACATTTCTGTCTCTTATTTATTGCCTCGAGCGACTTTGTAGAAGAAATTTTTAATTTATCAAAGGGTGAAGGTAGTTCCGGGAGGTTAAGCGATCCAATAACAGTCGGATCTGTAGAAAATCGTTCTTTTTCGTCTGATTGTGTATCGGAAGTCGATTCTGTGAGAGCACTAATTTCATTGTGGTGTACCTTTTCAGCGGTCATTAGAACGGTGAAAGAAATAACACCAATGGTATCTCAAACTTAAATCATACGATGTAAAAATCGATCTGCAAAAAATTGTTGAGATACAGTATTTATTATTTAAAAATTTAATTACAAAATTCAATCTTTTTTTTTTTGTTCACTAAAGTTTTTATCCTATTCAACACAAATAATTCAGGGGAATACTTTTTCAATTAAAGATAGCAATTCATTATTGCTAAATATATATTAATTTAAATTCTAATTATAATTTTTAAAAATTTATTATTTTTTTTTTTTAATTTTAATTTTTTTTTTTTGAGTACCCGTAGCCAAGCTAGATCATCAGTTTATTAATCAATTGAAACATAAGTACATTTTCATTTCAGCAGCATGATACATACTATGGTTAAACTATTAATCCTAATCTAACTAATTCATCATAGACATAAAAGTCTCTAAGTTCAATCTTGAGAACAATATTTTGCTTCAACAGTATTTTTGGGTAAAGACCCTCCTAGTCCACTGCATCATTGCCATCAGGTTGTCATTGTCATATGTCTGACCAAGCCATTAGAATACAAGCAATTACAAAAGGATGGGTTGAAAAAAAGAGAAGGATGGATATTTAAAAATGTCTAAATAAACAACAAGAAAATGAAAAAGTAAAACTTTTAAAAAAAATATTTTTAGTTTTCTCTAAAGACCTGCTTCTCAAGATCTTTTTTCAATAAGAAATGTTCGATTGAGATATCATTTCTTTTTCTGACCATCTGAGGAACTTATCTATTCTTAATCTTAAATTTCTTATTATATACTATCTGAGAAGACTTATCATCTAGTAGGAGCCTTTACTTCCAAGATATACTTGGTCCCTACTTTTTTTAGATAGTGATTTTTTATCTACCTGCAATAGGGAGGTGACTTATAATAAATTCCAGATTCTTATGTAACCTAGTAAAAATTGGATCATGTTGTTTTAGTATGATACCTTTCAGCAGTCACATCTAATTAAAAAATTTTTACTAATATATATCTTCCATTATCTAAAAGACCAGATTCTCCAATAATCCTTTTGCCTTATAATGATAGAAGGGTCTCAAAAGCAATAGGGATCCTTGTTGATTGTGATATTCTTTAACAACTTCTGGGAAAATACATTCTCAACTATAACCAAAGGATTGAAGCTCAATATGAACTAAAAACCATTTGATCTTATAACCTGACTAGGATAAAAAAGAGACCTTGAACTTGAATATTACTTAATCAAAATAATAAGAGAGAAAGACCTCAACTTGAACAAATAGTAGCTTTTTCATTATTTGAGGACTTGTTGCTTATATATTATTGGTCTTATGAAACTTGATCTGTAAATTAATCCAATTGAAGGAATGAGACAGACATGGGATATCAATCAACTCTTTCAATCACTAATAATATTATCAGAACACATGGAGTAATCAGTAGAGACTTGTTTATATTCAGTTACTAACATGTTTCATGTCAACCAATTAAAAGTCTGGTAACATTGTGTTATCAAAAATTCAGGGTCAAACTGAGATAAGCAAAATTCTTCAAGAAAACTATGAAAAACAGTAAACACTTTAAGAGGAAATAAAAAGTATAAGAAGGTGGATAATAAACTTTTCTTTGTCAACAAAACCTCTATTTCTATCACTTCAGTTCTATAAGATGACATTCCACTGCTAGTTCTTTTATTTTATAGAATATTCTTGCCTTTAATAAAGGAAGTATGTATTTGGATCTTTTCAGATTATTAGAGGCTCAAGTTTTTATTCAAAGAAGTTTATAAACAAGTAAAGGAGGATAGAAGAAATACATAAAAACAAGCATCAAATTGTTTTTATAAAAGTATAAAGACTTTATTAGCAAGAAAATATAAACCTTCTTGCAAATATTTTTTTTTATATGGTCAGAGAATTAGTAGAAAGAGTTTTTTTTTTTATTTTATTTTTTTTAATTAATGAATATACTGTATAATATATTATATATTATGCTTTATTGATTACTTATTTTTTTTTTTTTTTTTTATTTTTTTTTTTTATAGGGATTATAGAGGTCCAGTTTTATTGAGGTTGTAGCAATGAATTGATAAGGTATATTGAGATTACAAACTATAGAAATGACTATATTACTTAAGAACTATAACTTGACCTCAATAGTAACTAACTATTACAATAAATCCATTTGTCACAATCTTTCATATGACCCATGTGGCATGTTACTGGAAGAAATCCTACTATCCCCCTACCTACATTCAGGCCCTTGCCATGTTGACTTGCTCTCTAGCTAGTTTGGACCTAAGACACCTTTCATATCTCGTCCCATCAAATACTCTTTTTACATTATCTATTATAGTATGGTTATAGAATATTTACGTGGAGTCTTAGATATTGTTTTGTTCCATTTGAGTACCTTTTTTATATGACCTATTATAGCCTGCCTATGAAATAACTGTATAAAGTTTTGGATAGATTTTCAAGTTTGATAGAGATCCTCTTCTTTTGTTAACATATTTAAACACCATTATTCCTTGAATTTTTATGACAAGCAAATCTTCAGCCTATTTGCAGAAACTTGTTAAAACCTGTCTTGTAATGAGTTGACTTCAGCACTAAAATCAACTGAAGCATCTTGTGATATTTGGTTATTATATAATTAGATGAGATCTTGGTCACAAATGACAGTTATCATCATTATAAGACAGATGAGATCTTCCTGTACTACTTAAGCTTAGGTAGTACTGTCTCACAGTGATATTGAACTCAGAAACAGTATTTGGTGACCTGAAAGCATTACTACTGCATTATTGATCCACAGGTCTTCTTATTTCTTTATTAGAATATATAAAAAATCTTTATATATATATACAGTATATAATTTACTGTAATATTAATATGACTTTATAAATACAATAATATAGAATGGAGGTAAAATAGCATCTTTAAGTTAAAAAATATCAAATTAATTCATAAGATCTGATATGAGATCAGTTAAAGAATAGTAATATATGGAATACTTTCTTTAAAGGCTCACAAAGAAGAAGTTTTCTGGTTAAATTGATCAATAATAAACTATTCACTGTAAGTAAAACAATAATAAAAAGATTTGACTTATATAAGTAAATAAAATATATAGTATATAATTAACAAAAAAAGGGATCTATGGGTCAATAGTACAATGGTAGTACTTTCAGGTCACAGTTATAAAGTTTGCAGTTTAATATTACTTAAGGACTAAAAATCAAAAATTACACTTCTGATCAGATTTATCGATTATTCTATGAAAGTTATACTCAATTATCCAGAACAAGATTTAATTAGGTTAGGTTACATGAAGATAGAGCTTCTGACCTTCCATCGATCAAGCGATGAAATCTATGGTCATACTACTAGAAGGATTATATAAAGAAAGACTTTTAATCTAGTTCACCATAAATGTTCTAAAGATTACCTACTTTAATAATCTTCAGGATCCCATCTTTCTAGCTTAGAATATCACAATATAGTGCTCTGCTTAAATAAAAATCAAACAAATAGGACTGATCTGATATCACAGATAGTGACAAAGTAAATAAAGTGCCTCCTTTCGAGGTCTGAGCAAATAACATCTGGAAGTATTGAAGGGTAAAAACTAAACCTTGTCAGATACATACTATACAGACTAGTTTAGTGAATATAATATAAAAATTTATAAAAAGCTCAATATCAAATTAGTCTATTTTGTTATTGATAACTGTGTATTAATCATCTGGTTTCTAGCTGGATCTGCTTACTCACAGAATTGTAATAGGTTTATCTAAAGAAAATCACAATAGGTTATTATTAATCTACATATATATAGAAATATATAATTTATATGAGATAATTAATGTCATATTTAGGATTTTATTATCAAGATATTAAATTAATTCTTAATAAAAGTACTTATATCTAATACCAATTGTGGTTAAAAAAAAAAAAAAACAATTAGCAAAAGAAGACAATTGAATATCTCTAGAATATTCTGATTATAAAAATAAGATTCTGGCAGCATGGCAAAAAGGGGTTGAAATAGTTTTCAAAGAATTTGACAAGTTATATTAAAATAGGAAAAAGAAAGTAAATAAAAAAAAAATACAACTATTAATCAATAGTAGATGAAATAAAGATGAAATAAACAGATAAGTCTCTAGACTTATAGAAATAGTTTTGCAAATCAGTTTAAGTATACTTAGTTTTTGTGTAGGATTAATAGAAAGTGATATAATTAAAGAAGCTATTAATCTAAATTGTCATAATAAAAAGCTAGGAACAAT